GGGAGGCAGTGAAAGGACAGGAAGGCCTGGCGCAATATGGTTCATGGGGTCACGAAGAGTCGGACACGACTTAACGACTAAACAACAACCACACCTTTTCTCCACTGGTAGCTCTAAGCTCATCAGTCAAACAGCCTTAGATGTTCCTCTAGTTGTGCAACAAGCTATCAAAGTCGTGTGAGCATTTTTTAAATGCTTTGAATTCTGTTATCAATATTTTTTAACAATTCAGTTAGTTCTTGTGATTCTTTCATGAATACTGATGGAAACATACAGTCACACTTGTGCACTGTTCAGACAAGACAGATGTGACGAGTGATGCTTTCCTCCCCCTCACTCTCCAGTTTCACTGCTACAGTCTTAGAAAGCAAATGGATTAATCACAGTTACTGAGTCAGTTACTGCATTCTAAGGATATGGGGTTAGGGCAGAATGAGGCACGTGCCTTAGGCAGATGGTCTTCAGTATCACGAAACTTCAGCAAACTGTTAGTTATGTAACTATTATTTTTGCTGTCCTCATGGGGAAAAGCCTTTGTGAGATTTTTTGGCATAGGTGCAAAAATATATTTTTAAAAAAAGCATGTTTGTGTGACTGAAACAAACAAACAAACAAACAAACCCCAAAAAAGAAAATCCAGCAAACACACACATGTATGTATATACTAAAATAGATACATAAAAGTGATTCTTTTTTTAAAGGACAAATTAAACCCTATCTACGAAGAGTTGGGTTGATCAATCTTTCTGTTATGTCAATAAAGAGCTGTTTCAAAAGCTGACAGTAAATTCATTTTTTCAGTCTTTGAGGTTTGGGTATGGAAGTGGTTTACTACTGTTTTCTTCCAGGATATTTTGATTTCCTAATCTAGAATACATGGTATTTCCTGGTAATCTCCCATCCAAGTGGTAACCAGACCCAACTCAGCTTAATTTCCAAACCCACAGAAAATCACAGAAAGGAACTACCACACCAGATATTACAAGCGAATCCATACCCATGATGTATAGCTAGTTGGAGAGATTTGGTGCCCTAATAGCAGGCATTCCTCTATCTTCAGTTCAGTTCTAGAAATAAAATTAAAAGAAAAGTTGTGCTAGATTTTCATGCCTAAAACCTAAGACTGAATTTAACAAAATCTTGTGAAAATGCAAAGAACACAAGGGGAGCTTAGCAATCCTGAAATCTTGCACAAATAGTTTAGGGGATAGTTTAGAGAAGGTATTATTTTAAAATCATTACAGTCAATTGGACAATTGTGTAAAGTTCATTCAGGGGATAAACAAGCAAAATAGAAGAACAAGGGAAGGCAAAAATTGTACTTAAGGAATTTGAAAGAAAATCAATAAAAGCAATAAACTTGGCTAGTTATGTGCTACCTATTTAACCCTAAGCAGAGTAGCATCTGTGGTAGAACTAAGAGATACAGAATGGAATTTCAACGTTATGGGAATCTGAAATCAGTGAAAGGTTGCCCCTTAGCAAATTGTTCCATTTTTTATGTCCATTTATGTCCAGCAAGTCAGAAAATTACTCAGTGCTGTGGGTCACCTTCTTAAAGGATACACTTGCACTTCAAATCACACATAGAGAGACAGGTTGTTATGAAAAGCAATTAACTTCTGGAGTTTAGAGATGAAGAATCTATGCTTATCCACATTTCATGTCAAAGATCCTGATGGTCTAGGGAACACCAGAATTTATGGGGAATTCAAAACATCTGGAAGGCAGCAGACTTAGGAAGACTGCAATTCGGTTTTAGCAGTGCTCCCGATTCATTTCAGTAAACCCTAAAGCCGCAAGTTTTGCTGCAGTTGCTGTTCACTATGTGTGGGAAACCACTTAGAAGGCATATGAGATTACACCTGGATGTGCTCATCACACTTGGGCTTACAATGCAATGCGGTGTTGCTAATAGTAGTGCCCTGTAGATTGTTTGGCTCAGTGGAAGCTTTGGAACAGAGATGATCCACAGAAACTCCATGACAAAGAGAAATATTTACTGAGCATGAATATATTGAAGTCTCCTTGGCCTCCAGAAAGCTGTTAAATGGATCTGAACAGAACTAGAGATTGAAAGAAAGAAAAAGTGTTTTGTAACAGAGAAAATAGGAAGTGAAAAACAACCAGAGAAAGAATGGAAACAGTGGTGGCAAAGTACCTTTTCATCAGAAGGGTTGAGGGTCTTTTTCACTGGTGTTCAAGATGCTTCAGCATTTATATACCTATGCTGAGGACAGAATACGAGGGCACTAGAGATGGTTACAGGAATGAGACTGATGTGCTTTGGGATATTGTGACCTGCTTGTGTATAGATGGAGTTTGGGAATGATGGGAAACAGACTGCCAAAGCAACACTTCTTCACCATGAGGAGGATCTTTATAAATCCACCAAGTGCAATCTTGTTCAGAAGCCAATGAGGTAGCCAAAGATAGTAAATAGAGAGGAAGAATACCAAGGAACTACATGTAGAGCTTTGTCAACATAATTCAGCTCCTTCTAGAGAAGATAGTGTACCTTTAGCATCGTTTTTAAAAAGTCATGAGTTTTGGAAATCAAAGCAACAATTTCCTATGTAGGACACAAATAGTCATTTGCCAAAATATTTACTTGGGGGTTAGGCCAGTTTCCACATCACATCAAAGGTTTGAAATTGATCTACAAGCATGCACTGCAAGATGGCTTGCTTCTGCTCTGCCTTTTGGCCTTGCTGAATGCATTTTTTAGTCTTCTCTGCTCCTTCCCTTGCCATCCAGTTAAAAGAACCCCCCTGGGTTGGTGTGCACATTCTAAAGCAGCTCAGCTGTCTTAACTCCATCAATCTTCAACTTTCCCACACTGTGGGCTCATCTTTCATTTCACTCTAAAGCAGGGGACCACAACTGTTTTTTGTTTTTTCAATTTAATTTTTCTCTGCCCCCTCTTAAATTTTTCTCCTTTTCCTTCCCTTGGTTTTTCTCCTGCTCAAAACAGGAAGAGAAAGAGACTGTTTGTGGTATGACTGGGCCTTTTTCCAAAACTGAATTGTGTTTTGGAATAATTCAGTTTTGGAAAAAGGACAACCAAGGGCTGACCACAGATGTGCTTAAAATAATTCTATTTTCAAAATGGCTGGAAATCCCAAAACTCCAGCTAAGGTCATTTGTGTTTCTAGAAAGTAGGAATACAAACATACTGATGAGAAAGGAGCATAAAGATTATTTTCGTAACCCTACATGCTGGGAAATGTATCTCTACTTGGTAAACTGAATAAATGCACTGAATAAATAAATGCATAAACAAACAAATTATACATGCCTACCTGGGCAGGCACCAAAATATTGCATGGGAAGGGTTTCTAAGCTCCAGGGCAATTCTGCATAGCAACCTAACCTGCTTCTCTCCTGTGATGCTGCTGGCTGTTCCCAAAGCCAACTTTAAGAATTCCATTCCAGATTGCAGTAGGCTGGCACTTAGTCTGGCCTACAACAATCACAGAATCTGATTGGTCATCCCCTTCCTTCTCGCCCTTTCAATCTATGCAGGGAAAGCAAGCCTTGCTGGTTGGCTCCTATGTTGATTAGTCTACCAATGCCTCCCTTATTCCCTTCTCACTAGGCTCCTGTGCCTTTCCTTTACTTTCCCAAGTATTTGCAGACACGCATGCTTTCACACATATATCCATTTTCTCCTCTGTCAGCTAGAGAATCACTTACCAAGTTGACAAAGTCTTGGTAACAAATCTTCCCATCAGAGTTGTTGTCTGCCAAGGCCAAAAGCACTTCCAGTTTATGTGGATCCAGTTCAGAGCCATGTCTTTGGAGGAGGTTCCGAAATTTCTCAGTGCTGATATAACCAGTATTTTCAGGATCAAGCTGGAAGAGACAGAAAAACAAAGAGAATGATATATTAATGCAGCAGACACATCAAAGTGTATTGCAGAAGCAGGCAATTTGGAGCCTGCAGGTTATATGTGCCCCCCCAATCCACTTTTGGCAGTCCTCAGGGTTTATCATATGTGTGCTGTCAGTCTTTGTCAGGAACCAAAGGAAACAGATATCAGATATCTTTCAAATACTTAACTACTATTTGAAATATTATTCATGTTAAAAATTATACTCCCCAAACCCCGATATCACCAAAAGGCAAAAAAAAGGGGGGGGGGAGCAAAATCCCAATTCCCTTTCTTCCAGGATGTTTTGATGTCACTGCAGTGACCTCTGTTCTTCTAAACCTCCCAACAATCAATAAGACACATGAGACCTTCACTGCAAAAAAACTCTCCACCTCTGCTTCATTGTTTGCCACCCTATCACAATCTTCCATTTTCATTCTGTCCTTCCACCTTCATAAAGACAATGGCAATATTGTCCTAGTCCTAATTAGGAGAACAGTCTGGTTATAAATAGGCTCCTATGATAGCTCACTGTAGAAGAATAGGCCTGCACAAATCTGGTCCAGTCTAGTTTGAATCAGATCATCAAGCTGATCTAATTTCAGTCCCTGATTTGATACGGAAAAATAAATCTACTCTGATTTGGGTGTCTGAATCAAGTGGAACTGAATAACCTGAATCAGGCTGATCTGAAGCGGTCTGATTTGGGTCTTAAAAATTCATACATGTGGGCACAAAAACATCTACACTGGTCAAATTGATTGGAAGGTGTATGATATGATGACTGAATCTGAATCTCCAAACTCATCTTCACACAGCCCTAAGAAATACTGCTGGGCCGATCACTGACTTCTGAAGTAGGACCCAACTGATACAACCATGGAGAGCAGTATTCTTCAATTAAGGTGCACCGTGGGGCTGCTTCATATATGCACGTTCATCGTTTCAGGAGCCTACAGATCAAGTGACGATCTGTGTGTGCAAAAATAAAGCATCATGTGCCAAACAACATGCCATAACTTTGGATGGTGACTCATAACGATAAGCGTTTCTGCAAGTGCTTCTGTTCTGTGAGAATAAGACAGGCAACCTTCTGATAACAGGGGGTAACCCTTTACATTTCTGGGGAGCCCAAGGCTACGTTCGGCATAGCAATATGCAGAGGATAGAGCTTTTTTTAAAAAAAAAAAATTGTGAGAGGAGTTGGGGATTTGTAAAGTTTTAAAAACTTTGTTAAGCCTATTGTACGGTTTGCATTACAGCTTTAAAGTGTTTCCTATTTCAAAATTGTAAGAAATTGTCACTAATTTTCAGTAACAGTAGTCAGAGGTAGCTTCATGGGCCACAAAAAGAGGTACATCAACAAGCAGACACAACCATCATGGTTCCTTCTACTGCTTCCTCTTACAGGCCATGATTTCAAACTTTCCTACTTGATTCACAGTAAACCAGAGTCTGTTGCCACATCTGAGCATGGTTTTCTTAAATTAAACTTTGCCCAAACATCAGGATTCCAAACTAGGGTTGCAGGAAACTAGTATCTAGATTCAACAATAACCCAGAAAAAAGTAAGGAAAGGGGAGGATGAAGAGGGAAAGGGAAAATAAGGCATGCATGCTTGAGATTAGCTGCTGCTAAACCATGGTGCAATACTAGCAAATAAATGTGTGAATCCAGCCGCTGTGTTTTATAAACCACAGTTTAAGGCTTGGTGTTATGGATAAGCCAGTCCACTTTAGCTTGTAAAACAAACCATGGTTCAAAAACCATGGTTCAATATTTAAGCTATGAACTATTTAAACAGAGTTAAACAAACCCCAATTAGTTGAGATCGTGAACATATTAAACTATAAAACATGTTTTACAAATCACGATGCTTGGATCCACACAAAAACTTAAACCAAAGCCAAACAGATTCATTATATTGAAATGTATTGTTTGAATGCAGCCACAAAATGTAGCATCAGGAAAGGTGGAAAAACAGCAAAAGCCAGTAACCGATGCTGCAGATGGGTGTGTTTCTGGGAGCCAGTACTGCAGCTTAAATTAATACACTAATAGAAGAAGTCTGTCAGGGGATACAATGTGGTTGTTGCTTGAATCTTTAAATACTCCAAAGCCAAACTTTGCAAAGTTTTAATCGCAAAAACAAACAGAGAAACTCCTAAAGGAAATATTAGAAGATTGAAATCTAGAGATCCTGGTTCCATCATGACTACCAAAAGAATGTTATAGGGACAAATCTTTGAACTAAGTTCCTGCTGTGGCTCACACTTTCTATATTTGTCAGTTGGTTGCTGTTGGGCTGTGAAAATATGGTCTAAAAAGCAGGATCACAGCAACCTGAAGTACTCTGAAATATTAACTCAAACGTGTCCTTGGAAGGGCAGTCAGGTCAAAACTGGGCTGCAGAGTTAGGCTGAACAGAGCCCGAAAGGATGAGCCTATGCCACTGAGGTACAGCCTTGGCAAATACGCCACTTGTCGTTTCAAAGGCCTGGTTGGACCTGCTTCAGGGAGACCTGGTTTCACAGAGGTGAAGATCAGGGAGTGTCACTCCCTGAGCTTGTCATTGTTGTGGGATTGTTGGGAGGCTAAAATAGTACAACCCCCAACTGTGCCACTTTGGGCTGTTTGTAAGTGTGCGTTCACTTTTGTGAAGGGCAGATGTGACAGATCAAGGTAATCTTCTGAACGCCCCTTCTCAGCATACACAATCTCAGTAATGGATAACCACAGAGTGCATTTTCCTTTAGCCAGCCTCTTCTCTGGATTCACAAGCACACCTGAAAAGGCAGAGGTTACTGTCCAATTCTCAAGGCTGGTTTGTCTCATGACTTAATTCTTCTGACCACAAGACTACATTTGTAGCCATTTGGAAGAGATTTGCAAGGAGGCATAATTAAATTCATGGCCACATCATAAGCAAATGTTGAAAAAGAAAGAGCCCAAAATAATTTTTAAAGCGTAATGGACCTGAAAGGCTTCTTTTGAAAAACGTGCAGAAGCAAAGGATTCTTGTTCAAGAGCTTAATTCATCCAGCAGCCATTTGTCACCTTTTGGAAATGGAAGAGAAATTTTGTCCTTGTAAGATATTCAAGGATGTTTTCTTGGAAATGGACTCCTCTAAGAGAATATAAAAAAGCTTGAGAAACTCAGTCTTATACACAGATATATTGCAAAGTCCAACATATTATGTGTTATAACTTCAATGATTTTAAGAGCTAGTAACCCTGAGAAAGGAATATATAAGTGAAAACTGTGACTCTATATGAAAATAACATTTAATGTCTTGCTCTTTTGTAGCTGAAAAACCAAACAGAACAAGTTTTTATCTTACAAAGATCACTTTAAGATTTTCTGGGTGCCAAAGATAGACAATACTGTCCTTGTAAGTATTGTAGTTTTATTTCTGCACATAGAAGAGTGATTAATGGAGAGACAAAATATGCTGTCTTACAATCAGTGGTTTTGTGATCACAAAAAGAAAAAGCTAAGACTGGCATCAGACAAAAGGTATTTCCCTTTATAAACTGAAATCCCAACAGAAGCTCAGAGCAATTTACAGTAAATCCAACGCAGCTTCATCTCTCGCTGGGCCTCAGCTGTCCCGAGACTGGTCTTTGATCTTCCCAACTTGGTCTGCTGGCTTCTGGTTGCCAATAATAATGATATCAAGCTTGTCACTTGAGTTGAAAGGGAGAAGAAAAGAGGTGGAGATTCATGAGAAAAGTTCAGCCCAGGAGGGCATTTTTCCATGGAAACATTTTGTATGTGGAAAAGGCAGTTTGGTAAAAGCGACAAAACCCTTTTTGAAGAAGCTTGCTCTTGCTGACTGCAAACAAAGCTCCCACCTTTGGCTAGGAGTGATTGGCTTGGCAAACAGGCAGGGAACAGGGCGGGGGGAGGGCAAAAGTAGCAGCTTGCCAGCAGCTAAATTGGGCAGTAATTTTTTTCCCCTTTCAGCCTTCAAGTAGAAAGAAACCTACAGCAAGATAGTTACTCCAGTTGGCTGAGGCAGCTGGCTTGGCCAGGGGAGCGCATGGATTTGGCTTCAGCTGTTTCAGACAGGGCATCGCAAATCGGTCAGGAATAGAGTCTGCTGGCTGACTTAATAAACATCTTAAGAAAGAGGGCAAAAAGGGGTGGGCCAGTTCCAAGAAAGAATGAGACCCAGATGCAACTGCACCCCATTTCAAAGGGCATCCTGTCAGATGATTCTGAACATCCAGGCGACAAGGGAAGACCCTTCCCCCTTCTGATACCTATCCGATGGTCCATATACAGCGGGGTTTCAGAACTTTACTGCCAGAGAGTCGCTGAGGCTACTCTTACTATTGCTTTCTTTCTTTATTCCATTGGTATGGCTGTCCATCTCACCTAAGTGACTCTGGGATGCTGATAGCTCCATCCCCCATAAAACTGTCCTGTCGCTTTTTAAAGCCATTAGGCAACATCATAACTGGAGGCAGCAGATAAGTCAATTCTGCAACGCAGGTGAAAGATGTTCTACTGCAAAATAAAGTTCACTGGTTGATCCTGGTAAATGTGAAGATGCCATGGAGTGATTTCACAGACACATCCATTTAGATTTCTAAATGGTATGGATGTGGGTTGCCATAGCTTTCTTCTGGGGAGTTTTTTTTAACTTCTCAGCCTAAAGCCCTAACATTCCCTGATAGTCTCTGGATTCAGTTACAGACCAGGAAGCTTTTCCCACTTGCATCTGACCATGGAACAAACATGTCATGGCAACCTCTTTTTTCTGCCATGTTGTTAAAGCCACATCTCCCCCTTAAACCAAAAGCATCAATCAGCAGTTGCAAGTTATGCAAACTCTGACATCCTGTCATCTGGGAAAGGTCATCTGCTTGTTTGAGATGAGGTATCATCAATATACTAACGATACCCAGCTATATCCACTCCTCAGGCTCAGCCCAAGAACGACGATGAAACAGTTCAGTACAGTACAACCCCTT